CCCGGAGCCATGTGAGACACTTTTTTTTAAGGATGGGCGATTTTTATTTAAGTTCTTTTGGACTGAAACAATGCAACACCGGCTGAGTGACATTAAACGGCTTGAAAGATCAAAGACCATTTTTAATATAACTTCGACTGGATTCGTCTGAAAGAAGAAAGTCATATACACCTAGGATGCCTCGGGGGTGAGTAAAACACAGCCTAATTTTCATTTTTGGGTGAACTAACCCTTTAAGTATAAATATATATACAAACAAATATTTGTAAAAATATATACATATGTGTATTTATATATACATAATAAATATACACAGGACACACACATATATAGTATGTAAACAAACTTTTGTTTTGAATGCGATTAATCGTTTTGCAGCCCTAGTTAAAATATTATCTTGATATTTTTCTGACTTTTTACTATATTTTGTATATATGTAGATTATGTATTTGCTTATCTTTTTTCATATCATTAGAACTGTCATTTTGACCAAACAGACATCAAATTCAATTGTTAAACTACGGTAAAAAATCTGGTTAAAATAATCTTGTTTCCCACAATGCTTTTCACTACATGAACACAAAGGAAGAATCACATTTAATCGTTCTCATTTGTATGCATCAGAATTACAATACATAGTCATTAACAGTAATGTTTACCTGCATATACACTATTGTTCAAAAGTTTGGGGCTGGTAAGATTATATTTGTTTATTTATTATTATTAACAAACAACTATGATAATCTTTGAATTGTTTTTGTTTTGTTTTTTTAACAACCATTTTGCTACACCTGTTTATTACTGTTGTTTCAAGTGTCCCAGATCTTACTTAAGAAAGCAGGTAAATGTGTGATGGCCATCCCATAGGTGTTACATCACCTTGCTGGTTACATCACTTCCTCACCTCAAGGGATAGCAGAGCAAACCAGTTTTTACTCACTCACTTTTAAACACTGGCTGGATATGAACTCATCCTTTAAAGCATTTTTAACTTCAACAAGGGCAACCTATTAGATTAATAACTTGATTTGTGTGTTCATGTTATGTTGCTTTGTGAAATCTATAAATTTTTTCCCTAATTATTATTCCTGAAAAAAAAATCAAGACAAATGTACTTGAAATTGAATTAACATAATCATGCATCTGGAACAGTTCATACATAGGACTGAAAATTCGAATGACACACTTTGATTTCCTTTGGGATAAAATAAAGTTAAACTCAGACACTTTTTATTAAATAACAACAGAGCTAAACTGCAGCATTTGGGAGAAGGGTTTATATTTACATATACAGTGGCCCAAAAAGTATTTTTTGGCCACACTAAAATGTCTGAATGTCATAGTGCTAGATGCAAATGTTAAATGTGTATTTTTTAAAAGTTAACATAAGCACACATTAAAAAAAACTATAAAAAAAGAGATTAGCTGCAGCTAAAATTACACAATTTAAGTGTCCAAATCCAAATATTTTAGGGGGTTAGGAAGAATTTTTAAAAGTAATCTGTTTTTCTCACCAAGGCTGCATTTAAAAAATATATATTATTGTGAGATATAACGGTTTTCTATTTTAATATGGTTTAAAATGGAATTTATTCCTGTGTTTGACAATGCTGAATTTTCAGGATCAATACTCCAGTCTTCAGTGTCGCATGATCCTTCAGAAATCATTCTAATATGCTGATTTGCTGCTCAAGAAACATTTCCTATTTTATCAATGTTGAAAACAAATGTGCTGCTTAATATTTTAGTGGAAACTACAGTTAGGTCCATATATATTTAGACACAGCCACAATTTGTATTATTTTAGCTGTTGACCAAAACATATTCACGTTACAGTTATATAATGAATATGGGCTTGAAGTGCCCAGTCTGAGCTTTAATTTGAGGGTATTCTCATCATAATTGGAGGAAAGGTTAAGGATTTTCAGCTCTTTAATATGTACCTCCCCCTTTTTCAAGGGACCATAAGTAATTGGACAATTGACTCAAAAGCTGTTTCATGGACAGATGTGGGCTTTTCCTTTATTATTTCTACATCAATTGAGCAGGTAAAAGGTCTGGAGTTGATTCTAAGTGTGCCATGTGCATTTGGAAGCAGTTGCTGTGAACTCGTATCATGTGGTCAAAGGATCTCTCCATACAAGTGAAACAGAAAATTGTTAGACTTCAAAAACAAAACAAATCCATCAGAGAGACAGCAGGAACATTAGGAGGGGCCAAATCAACAGTTTGGTACATTCTGAGAAAAAAAGAGCGCGAGCGTGCATGGCTTCCAGTGGCACTGGTGTTTAGTGATGAGGTGACAGAGGACAGAAGCAGCCGGATGAATTCTGAAGTGTATAGGGATATACTCTCTGCCCAGATTCAGCCAAATGGAGCAAAGTTGACTGGGCGACGCTTCATAGTACAAATGAACGATGACCAAACTAAAGGCAGAAAGATCCACAAACAGACAACAACTGACGTCAGCTGCAGTAAAGACCTGGCAAATCATCAGAAAGGAAGAAACCCAGTCTTTGGTAATACCCATGAGTTCCAGACTTAAAGGGATAGTTCACCCAAAAATGAAAATGTGATGTTTATCTGCTTACCCCCAGGGCATCCAAGATGTAGGTGACTTTGTTTCTTCAGTAGAACACAAATGATGATTTTTAACTTTAACCGTTGCAGTCTATCAGTCGTATAATGCATGGCAATGGTAGTAAAAAAGTAAAAAAAAAACGTGCACAGACAAATCCAAATTAAACTCTGCGGCTCGTGACGACACATTGATGTCCTAAGACACGAAATGATCGGTTTGTGCCAGAAACCGAACAGTATTTATATAATATTTTACCTCTAATACAGAGCGTGTACACACCTCACGCACCGAATGCCTGTGCGTGCCCAAAGACAGTTGGACATAGTGTTGTATTAGAGGTAAAAAATGATGTTTGTTGATCTGAATCTTTTAAGTGTGACAAACATGCAAAAAATAATAAAATACAGGAAGGGGGCCAACACTTTTTCACACCACTGTAAACAAGTCAAATTCATTCAAATCGATATTTTTA